TCAAAACCTGTTTTGAATAAATAAGGGCACCGTCATTTGCTTTTCCGATAACAATTTCAACGTTTCAAATCACGAACTGTTTTGGAGAATTTAACGAAGAAAAAAGGGGGGAAAAAAAAAAACACCTAAGACAACGGTGTGGTCCGGGTGGCTGCGAATGATTTCCTTGATTTGCTGTGCGGCTTGCTTTCTTGACGGGATGCTGCGGGTGGGGTCACAGTTGGTGTCGTCCATGTAAAGGACATCGATAACGGCGTTGGTTACCAGGCACAGCTCACGCAGCATTGACGGGGAATATCTGAAGTCACCTGAATTAACGATGTACCAGACACATTTTTGTGAGTTCCCGTGTTGTACACATGAAACAATATGAACATTTCCCAGCACAATTACCATGACAAAAATGACACATTACAGAGTTATTAACAATCATTTAGAATTCAAACAGAAATCATACAAACCCATTTGATCATGTTCGGTTTCATTCATGGTGTGTTGAGACACTCACCGGTGTATAGAATGGTGCCAAAGTAGCCCTCGAAGAGGAACATGACCGCACCTGGACAGTGGTTGGCGTCGATCAGTGTGACGGTCATGTTTTCTTTGCCAATGTCATCCAGGGGCAGGAGGTATGAGTCGCCGATCTCCAACGGGTGGATCCACTTTTCCTTCACCTGCACACAAGAAAAAAAGAAAATTATCGACACGCCCATGTTCACATGCCAGGTTTGTGTGAGGAAAAAAAATGGCACCGACCTCAATCATTTCAAAACTTTTTCCAACCATGAATGTGACCCATTACCTGTACAGCTCAACAACCCAAAACTTTGATGGCAAGTAGAAACAAATTGTGATAATATCATTGCACAAGTGTGCACACCCTCCCTTCTGGGATTGTGGTTGTGAATTAACCAATCATATTTTTATAGTTACATGCCCGTTTTTTTTTCATACACATCAGCCAGGCGAAGAACACAAAATACATTTCATACACAATGAAAGACAGTGAAGGCACTTATTAACAAGTGGAAAAGAAGGGCACAACAGTACCAATACCAAAAACTAGACATCTCTCCAAATTTGATTTTTTTTCAAAATCTGACGAAAGCCAGGCTCATCATTGACTCACTGTTATGTGGTGTAAGATGAGTGCCAGCTCGATACAGGAGACATA